AGAAATCGGAGAGAGTGAGTCAGAGAAATAAAAGATTTGTCGTAGGCAGCATAGCTCTTGCTCGCGTAGAACAGGCACGCAAGAAAATTAATGAAGAAATAATCCCCAAGATGACGGAACTCAATAGCGGATTACAAACTGTTGCTGATCAGCAGGTATTGCTTGCCAAGAATGTCAAAGATTTTCGGTCGAAATTGATAGTACAATTAGATGGTCTCAATGGTCAATTGAACAACATCACCCTTCGACTCTCAGGTGCCATAGGAGTAAACTTCAAGAAGACTGCCAATGCAATGTATGCAATGGAGGCCCGGAATACCTTGTCCATTCTTGAAATGGGAAGGTCCTTGTATGACTCTCAGATGCGTTATTACAGAAGGATCAAGGCTCAACTGTTGCTTGGAGATATACCAGACGAATGGTGTCTTGTCGGCACGGACTCGTACAATGAGTTATACAAGTCCGTAGCTGGCATTACTGACTCCCCAATCCCTATCCTTCAGTTAACCGAAGTGTTCTGTCAGACAAAATGGTCGCCCCTAGACATCGGCGACGGTGCTTACGATCAAGTCAATCTCTTCAGGATGGTGCCGATCAGTGGGTTGCAGAACCCGATTTATCGTATATCACCCTTACCGATTATCGAATTGGGTTATCTAGTATTGTCTCCGGTTACCTAAGTACTAGTCACAAAGGACCTGTACCTCAATGCTTACGCAGAGATCAAGATGAAGGATGAGACACCTGTGGGCCAAGTGGAATGGTTTGCCCTCAATGATTTAGTTCACCTGGATAGTGGTCGGGGAGACTGTTGGCGTTCCCTCATTAGGGACTCTAATTTCGCATATTGCCAAACAAAAGTGTTCCTAACATCCCGGGCTTGGGCTACCACCCCTACATCTGATGGTCTTTGGGTGTCCGGTGTACTGAATTGTATTCAGTGGGTTTTTGGTCTAGCGCCACCGCGCGTTAACGTGGCACCATCTATTGTGTCATTTAGGTGCTATTGAAAAGGTCTTACTAGCCACGCGGTTGTAGGGGCGTTCTTGTGTTGGAGGCAGTAGCCATGATGTCTTTGTAATAGTCACCGACATTTGTGCTTGTTTACTGTTAGAACGTCAATGCGAGAGATGCGGGAATGGTATGCTAAGTTATAAGTTTCTATAGTTCACGTTGATGTTTCTAGGGTTAGGGTTTGATTTGTTAGAGCTATAAAGTTTAATTGGGAATGAATAATTAGATGTACAGGCCATTTCTATGTATAGTTTCAAACGAAGAAAATGTTGAATAAGAATTAGTAGAGAGATTGAGTATTAGGTACATGCATCCTGTAGCATAATTTTGGTTTCTTAGTGTGGTATGTTTATGGCTTTGATGTGAAATATGATCATTTAGTATGGTAGAATTTATTACTGTTTATTGTTTGTTGCAGTAATTTTACAGCTTAGAAGATAACTTAGAGACAAGACTGGTTAACTGGTGAAGTCAGAATGGAATAAAGCTAGTTGTAACCGTCGCAGATTGTCAAGTCATGCCGGACAGTTTTATAATATCAACGCAGGTGTATTTTACTAGCTTTATTCCATTCTGACTTCAATTTCGAATTGCTCGTCATCTGCTATGACGTCAACCAGTGCGCTGTGAGCTTCATCAAGCGCTTCGTATGCAGCTCTTACCTTTGTAAATGCTTCTTTAACCACATTTGGTTCACCTGTATCATCAGCAAGGGAAAGCTTTAAAAGATTGATAGCCCTTGTCAAGGCGCCCTTGCGGTTTCTTCTTTGCAGCTTCAGCTGCTTCGTTCTGTCTTCAATATTCATTGTCTTGCTTTACTGTCAAAGACTGCTCAGCGATGTAATTTTACTGTAACCGTCGCAGATTGTCAAGTCATGCCGGACAGTTTTATAATATCAACGCAGGTGTATTTTTCCGGTAATGCACAAATATCGGAAATTTGTCATGACGCTACTACAAACACCACCTTAAGAGGCCATGTTTATTGGCAGCCTAAGAAGGACTGTGCGTATGCGATAAATGATAGAATAGTTATGCATTCTAAGTCTAAGCAAATCTCATCAGAAATATTTGTCTTTTCCGAAGCACTTTCCGTTGATGCTAATCCCGTGAGACTTAAGGAGTTGCCGGCAGTTATTACGTCTTCTGGTTTCGGACTATATTTGGAGAGTTTGAAAGAAAGCAACTTGGTATTGGAAAATTTAACTTCTGAAATTATTATAAACAATGATAAAATTGGAATAGAACCCATTAAGAAGTTAAGCCCTGCATGGAAATTTCCCCATATTAGCAAGTCGATCACGAGTTTTTCCCTGCAGGGGGTCATTCTAGCGTGGTTGTTCGGGTTGACACCGATTGCAGGAAAACTTTCTTATGACGCGAGCCGCCGCCAGTAGTTTCGCTTATTCTAGTATACCAATGGGACCAACAGCTCCTGATTACCACAAGTAACATTATCCTGAGTTTTCAGTAGCTCGATAAACAACATATCACTGGGACTCTCAAAAATATAAAATATAATTAAGATCCTCTCTTTAAAAAGAGCTGATTGTTCGACTTGTGACCAACTTTCAGTTCATACACTTAAGATAATCAAACATGTTTTTTCTAGGTTTTCTCCTCTCCAGTGTATTCGTGACAGCTTGTGCTAGTGAAGAATCAGGTTATTTATTACATTTTATTTATTTGATTTATTACAACTTGCAGCTGTCATGTGGAACAGAGTCCGACTTTGTAGAATCCCACGGGACTACTGATTGGCCGTTAAGTGTCTGTCGCGCGACTGACGATTTGTGTGATGTCAGGTGCCAGCCTGAGGGAAGTTTGAAAATTCGAGTTGTACATAGTGCGATAGGATTTAACGAAGATAACAAATCATTGATAAATCTACCCATTTTATGGGAAAAGAAATTAAGTGATTCATGTATTGCCCAGATTCGACCTTCGAGGATCATTACGTATTCCCTTGGCTGTACCAATGAGGGAGCTGAACAATTCTGTTGGTCGGATATAGGATTACAAGATGTTGTGTCAGAAACCCTCGTTTAATTCTTTTGGGATCAATTGTGAATATTTGAAACTATTCTATTTTCCATTGTCTGGTATTCAGCGTCGATCTGAACTTTTCCCATTAGCATCCCTCATGGGCCAAGGAGAGTGGTACATCACATTGTCAGTAGTGATCGTTGGCCTGGTCTTATGGATAACCCATTGCGGATCTTTATTGTATTTGATTAAGCGTCGTTGTCACTTTACTCAACACTCCTTTGACCTGGAGCGTATCATTCACCAAGTTCCATTCCGTTCCTAAGACTGTCGTCTCATCGTTTGCCGGATAGTACTCGGGTTCACAAATCTCGCGCACGTTCGACAGCCATTTACGGATTTTCAGATTCCCTTTCTGAAGCGTTGCGGTGAGATTATGTTTTATACGCAGACCGTCCTGGGTAGATCGCAGCGAATCGCTTAGATCGTCTACATAAAACTGTTCGTTAACAACGCGTTGAATCTCAAGATCGTCAGGAGCGTTTTCCCTGGCGACGTGTCGAAGCGCTACTATTGCGGCCGTCGGTGATGGCTTGTCACCGAAAGTAACAGTCGTAAGTTCATAAACCTGAACTGGATCGCACGGTTTCTCACGGAACACGTATCGGTGGAATCGCGCGTCATCCGGATTGAGCTTGACTGCCTGGAACATTTTACTAATGTCCGCAATCACACCCACCTCATACTCGCGGAAACGGAGTGCTACCTCAAACAAGTTCAAATTCAAGTTCTCGCCCTTAGCTAGATAGTCATTTAGCGAATGACCTTGGAAACGGGCTTTGCCGTCGTACACAACGCGCACGGGTGTGGTCAACGAATCCTTCAGCACCGCGAAATGAGGAAGAAACCACATGTTGCGTTCCTCGTGATTGTCATCTTCTAACTCGGTCGCTGGCACGATTCTTGCTACGCCTCGCTTAAGGCAAGAACGGGTCACTATCAGATCAACCTCCCTTGGAGACATCGCCGCGCGGAACTTCCGCAACAATTACGACTACCGGCAGTCAAACGTCTTAACGGACTTGGAGAACAGTTCAATAGAAAACCGGACGCTTGGAAGAACGTACTGTCACCAGATGG